GGTGGTGTGTGTGGTGTGTGTGTGAATTTCACAGTTCATTTTTTTTAAAAGCTTATTTTTGCAAACTTGAAAAAATTCAGTCGAAAGCCTTATAAAGTAGGGGTGCTATACACTAATCTACTTATCATGCTTTTCAAATCAGTTATTTTTCTGCCTGTATTTATAAGTATTCCTATGATAAAAACAAGTTAAAGACTGAAATTTTACGGAAAGGCAACAAAACATAACTAAAATGGACAAAATTATATAGTCACACAGAAGTAACACAAAAGACTATGGTAGGGAACAAAAAAATGAAAATAATTTCAAAACTTGAATTATGAGAATTGGTTTCAGTTCTTGCTTGCTATTAAAGAAAATATTTGCAATAAAGGAGTTTGCCTGAAAGGACTGGTAGCAGCAGGTGAAGTTTATCAAATTATTTTGAACACGTATCATCTCTCCCCCAAGCTGCAAAGTCACTGTCCACCACTTATTAGAAGATGTATCTGATGCCTCCACTGGAAGCCTTAGAGGAAAAGCTGGTGACTGAGGAAACCTGAAACACCAGGTATTTGGGCACCTACAAGGCCACTTTCAGTGATACACAAGGCTAAGTGCCTAACTTGCAAGAATGGAAAGCAAAGTGAAGCGCCTACGCCTCATTAGGGACCCTTCCTTAGTTCCACTATGTACCTACATCGTGACTGTGTAAACCTGGCTCAGAAAACCTCAGACTCCTACCAAAGGCTGGCTTTCCAGGAGGAGAGCTAGAAGACAGTGAATTGGCGTGATGATATGGCCGCTATCTCTTGGCATGCCTACGGTGCGACCAAAGGTCTGCGACACATACGCAACATATAACGGTATTAACGATAGCCTAGTGTTAACCTAACTAGCTCTGACACCAATAGCAGCAAAGCCCTAATGGCATTAAAAATGGCACAAGCTGTACAGCTTGCCTACGATCCTGAGTTTTTACAACTTGACCGGTACTGGCAAATGAGCTAGTCAGATTGATACTAGCTCAATAATGTATGCCTGTGCTCAGGTCGTGTTTTTGACTACGCTATAAACATTACCACCTATATTTCCTATTTCAGTGTTAGCACAGATAAGGTTCATCACTCTGCAGTTAAAGCACAGCTTTTTTATATATATGAACAAGAAAAAAGCAACAGGATTTGTCAGGGTAATTTCATTCACAAACGAAAAAAGCTAATAGTCTTAAAACGTAGGCAGGTACAACATATTTCTACAGCAATATGTCCATTACCAAGTAGATCAAAATACACTGTTCTAATTTTGAGGTATTAACAAATGACTGCATGACATACGCAAGCATATAATTTGCAGAATTAAAAACACCCCTTTAAATGTTGGCAGGCAGCATTCAACAGTCTGAAATCTCCTTTAATATTATATATTCTTCTGCCATATTAATATTCCCACCCTGTGTCTCTTAAGTATCGCAAAGCCTACGACCCAAGCTGCGTAAGGAAGAATATGCTTCCTGGGCGCCTGATGAGGTGCTTCAATTATTCCAGACGGGCTGTAACCTGGTAGTTCATTGCAACCACTTTTACAACTGTCAGCTCACTGAAAGAAACTCAAATCATCTTTTTCAAAAAATGCTCTACCCCCTGTGATTAATCCATCATGCAATCCTACCAGATACCAACTTCATGCTGACAATATAATACCGCTAATCTGCATTCACTCTGGAAAACGTTGTTGACTTACGTCACTGAACAAATCCTGCAGAACAGACAAGTACTTTTAATAGACTATTACCTTTACCAAATGTGAATACCTAACCAATAGTAATTGTCTTTTCAGTTTCAAAATGCATTAGTAGTAATAATAATAATGTACAAATACACATTTTCTTAATTCACACCCCACATTCACTCAGTTTATTATGCACGAGCATAATTAAAAAATGAAAATTAAACACTTTCTACATTCTAAACACAGCTTGAAACCATCTCAAATTACCCTTCCTACCCAAAAAGTTAATTATATACAGTTCAGATATGAATTAGTTAAGTTTTTCAAAGTTATATTTTGGTGCAAGACTCCAGTGCTGTATCACAATACATACCTCGGATAACACACATTTTTAAAAAATTCTCCCCCTTTGTTCTACACTTTTTGGCTGACATTTAAAAAAAGTGTTATTAATCTCTGGCTCAGTTCCCAATATATTGGCTTTTTACTTCAAAAATAGCTTAAAATAAGGATTAAGTGTTAACTGTATTTTAAAATTAGGTATGACAGCTTAATTACAGCTTTTACCAGTTTCAGCAGTACCAGGGAAGTAAGGAAGGCAGAATACAAAAACATTATTGCTACTAGAATTGTGTTTGTAAAATGCATTATCTTTGGATATTTAAAAGTGGACAGTGAAGGATGTTTCCTTCTACTGGTAAGAATTCTTACCATTTTTACCATTTTATTGCAAGTCTCACAACATCTGGCATAACTTTCAGTAACTCTCAGTTCCTGGAGCCACAGTATCACAAGCTTTTATTCTAAATCTCAGGCTTCCTGCTGAAGGGGAAAAGTAGGAAAAAAAAAAAACCACCACCAAACAAACAAACAAAAAAACCCACACAAACCAAACAAAAAACCCTCACAACACACAATAAAACCACACCCCAAGCACCCTAAACACAAGGTTTCTAGAGATCTTTTTGTTGCTTTTTAAAAAGACGTGCATGATTTTTAAGCTAAACTCCTAATTTTTCAGGGCCATAACTTCTATAAATCTTGAGGTGGTAATACTACCCTTGTGAAAGAGATGCAACCAAAGTTTCCTTGCTGAAGTTAATTTGGGTCACAGGAGCTTACATCTCTTGCATTAAAAAAGGTTCAGATTAAATAACTGCTTATATAAATTACCCCCTTCGTTCAGGAAGCCCAAGCAGTGAGAACGATGGGAAGACCACCAGCCACTCCTTGGGGACAAATTCTCTGCGAAGTTCATTGTGCCTCATTGACGCAGGAAGGTCTATGTACCTCTGCAGGGCAAAAATCTAGCTTGCAGAAAGATTTCAGAAGAATGCAATTTTATTTTCTGCTAGAGGAAGAAAAAGAGATTTCACTGAAGTGTTCGAGAAAATAAATGTTTTGCTGGTTTTGGTACAGTTGACTAACAACAGATGACGAGTTTCTCTTGATACTTAGGATGCATAAAATAAGTTGGCTGCCAATAAACTTATGATTTCCTTTTAAGTAACAATTTCCAGTTGTGAGTAAGCTATTAAAAAAAAGTTTAAAAAAAAAAAAAAATCAATGCATGTACTCATTGCACTCCCTACATAAGAACAAAAGTCCTACCTGAACAGTTAACAAGCTTTATTTGGTCATTTCAATTCAGCACCAATTTCATCCCAAACAATATTGTGCTGGCAAGCCCCAGTTAAAAGGAACATCATGTTTAACGCTAGAACAGTTCTGGCTATTTGATTTTAACATGCGAGAAAGTGCAAAAATAGAAGCATTTCAAGCACCAGTAGCCAGGCCCAAATTGACCTCAGTGGAAAGGGGACACACGTATAGATCCGTTATTCCTCTGGCAAACACTGCTGAGCAAGATTTTACCAGCTCTCATTGCCAAAGGATTGAAGAACCAGGGTATGATGATAATTATTGCACCCCGTTGCTACGATATTCCCCTTGGTATTAAGAACAACAAACGTGACGCAGGACTTCCAGAATGAGGGCACCAGGGAACCACTGGAATGGGACCAATAGGCAATACAAAGTCCTGCTTGCGATGGGGGGGTGGAGGGAAGACCACTGTCATGAATATGAGTATGTTTCAGTATGCAAGTAAGAAGGAAGTGGACAAAACCCCAGGAGCTGAGCAGACAACTGGGAACAATGGTCCCCTGACACAGGGTACAAACATGGGCTGTGCAGCCCCTGCAATAAAGATGATGAGAAACAAACACCTCTTCTGGGTTGCACTGAGTCCCACGCTATTAAACCCACGCTGAAATTAATTTCGCCACAAGAGTGTCTAAAAAAACTCCTAGAAAGCAGAAACAGTTGCTGTTGGCAGTCCCCAAAATATGACAGACCCGGAAGGGTGATGCAGAGAGTTCATGAGTAAGGAAGAGAGGAGGGAAAGGAGTGCGTGCTGGGTATAACACATTTAGCCCACAGCCATAACAACTTCCTTGACTCCCTAGCAGTTCCAGCTAAATTAGGGTAGCATAAGGTCTTCGTGTTTCTGAAATTGCTTGCTGAAAAGCTAGAGAATTTTGGCCACTAAACTGTATCAGGGAGGGGACAGAGTTGCACCGTGTCCCTGACCAATGCATCCTGATGTGAAGAAATTCAGAAATTGTGGGGCACTATGACCCCTCTCCACTCTGTTGGGTATAGATGATTTTCAACTAAAGGAAACCCTGCACAATGCTCCACACAAGCACATGAAAGGGATGTTTCAGACAGTGCGAGTTCTGGAGATCACAGTTTCCTTTACCTAAGCTAGTTCACGTTTTCCTCACAGATTTGAAAGCTTTTCACAGTTCAGATGTTTAATACTGATTTAATTCCACAACAGGGTACCTATTGGTCAGAAAGTGTTTGAACAAGAGATGATCCAAATTGATAGACAAAATAAAGAAAAAGGAAATGGAGAAGGGGAAATATTTTCTTGGAGTAATTTTAATTGGTAACTTATACCCCCCACTGTAAAGCAATCATCCTTTAATTGCCAGAATTTAATTAAATTATTATCTTCCCTAATTAAGTTAAAAAAGCAGTGTCTTGTGGCTTTATTACCTGCTCTTTATTCTGAATTTGGGTCACATGAGTGGCAGTCATGCAATGAACTCCATCCAAACTTTCTTACCTCTGTGTTACTTGACTGCTCTTGTGAATCATGCGCCTGAAATAAGAACACTTCCGCATAATTCACACTTCAAGATATAGGCTAAGACTGTTTCTTCTGCCAGTCTCTGTCTGATGGTCAAAATATATCAATTTAAGAAAACAAGCTATCTAGAACTTTATGAAGACATACCACTACAAGTGGGTCAAGCTATCAGCAGCTCTGATGAATGCTCTGTACTTTTAGATAATGTGTTACCAATGCACATAAACACAGTGTTGAATAGAGCAATCAGTAACAGCTTTGTATCTTTATTATTGAAGATAAATAAAAAATTATCATTTTCTTTTACAGTGACTCTCCCCATCAGAAAACCGACTTGCAAACACCCAGTCAAAACAATTAGATGTAGTCTAATACTTTTACTTATAAACAATTACAGTTAGCTCCATGTTTGGCTGAAGTTTTTCACAGAATCACAGAATGACTGAGGCTGGAAGGCACCTCTGGAGGGCATCTGGTCCAATCCCCCTGCTCAAGCAAGGCCACCTAGAACCGGTTGCCCAGGACCGTGTCCAGACAGCTTTTTAATATCTCCAAGATGGAGACTCCATGGCCTCTCTGGGCAACCCGTGCCAGGGCTTGGTCACCCATACAGTGAAAAAGTGTTTCCTGATGTTCAGAGGGAACCTCCTGTGTTTCAGTGTGTGCCCATTGCCTCCGGTCCTGTCACTGGGCACCACTGAAAAGAGCCTGGCTCCATCCTCTCTGCACTCCCCCTTCAGGTATTTACACATATTGTTAAGATCCCTCCTGAGCCTTCTCTTCTCCAGGCTGAACAGTCCCAGCTCTTTCAGCCTTTCTTCAGAGGACAGATGCTCCAGTCCCTTAATCTTTGTGGCCCTTCGTTGGACTCTCTCCAGTATGTCCACATCTCTTGTACTGAGAAGCCCAGAAGTGGACATCAAGCCCAGAACTGGACATTTCTTATATTGTAACAATTTCATAGTTTAAATGATTTCATGACTTACATGACGACTATGATTTTAGTGTACTTCATGCAGTAGCTTTCAGTACTGCAAATGATCGAACTGTCAGCAGTGCTGCAGTTTCTCTGTTTTTTTTAAAGATAGAACACTTACTTTTCAGAATACAATAAACTGGAATTGCAGTAAAACAATATTTTAACCAACGTAGTATGATATCACCATTTAACAGCTAAGTCAGTACTGTGAGTTAACAACCTCTTTACCATTACGCAGACTATAACACAGCTACCGGCTGTGAAGAGACCCCTCAAAACCCCATCACCTCTGGATTTCCGTGTCAAGATGCCCTGACCACAGATTTGCCCCCCGACAGATCACGGTAATCCTGTGAATTCTGGTATGCCTGAGCCCATGCACACTTGACATAAAACCAACATGCAACGTTTCCAAGAGAACAGCTGTATCAGACCAAAGACCCGTTATTCTGCCTACAACAAGTGCCATAAACAAATGTCCAAGGAAGAAGAAAAGGAAGGCAACCACACACAGTACTCTCTCAGCCCCCAGCAGTTTTCACATCAGGGTTTTTCCTCAGATGCCTGTTCCATTCACTAACTCTCAATGATGCTCCTCTTCCTTGAGAGCGCCTAGTATTTTTTCAAATACATGTCTACTTTTAGCATCTACAGCATCTTATGGCAAGCAACTCCAGTATTTCCACTACGTGTTCCATGAAAAAATACCTTCTTTTGTTTGTTTGTAATCCAGTTCCTACTGGCTTCATTTAACATCCTGAGTTCTTGCAATCAAAGGGACAACAAACCATTAATCCCTATCTCCTTCTTCAAGCTGATAATGATTTTGCAGATTACTATCAGAGACCACCTTAGTCATCATCTCTTTTCCAGGCTGAGGAGGAATTTTATCTTCTTCATTCCTTGTCCTGACGACTCTAACAGCCCTTTCTCCAAAACTTTCCCAGCTCCTCTATATCCTGTAAGATGAGGGGAACTGAACTGCATGGTGGATCTTTACAGACGGAGTTCTCTGCTTTGTTCTCTCCTTTCCCAACAACTCCTAACATTCAATTTACTTTTTGACCACAACTGATCATCCATCTGATATTTTCATGCAACTATAACTCTATAGATCTCACTCTGAGGAGGGGGGGGGGAAATTACCGCAAAACCCATTGTTTCTATGGGAAATTTTTATTATTTTTCTTCACATGTGTAACTTCACATTTATCCGTGTTGAATTTTTCCTGCCACTTTATCACCTAATGATTTAGACTTCTACAGTCATTCTACAATTACTCATACTTGACCCCCCCTTCCTAACTATTCAGTAAGATAGTATCATCAGACTTTCTTGCCTCATTGCTTACCTTCTTCTCACCATTTATGCACGTGTGACAGTACCAGCCTCAACACATACCCCTGCTGATACACTCCACTGTAAGAACTGGCCAAGTAGTCATAGTTCCTAGACCGTATATTTTGTTCAGCTAGTTAACCATGCTAGACTTCCCCTCTCCTATTACAATGTAGTGATCAGCATTATTTGTATCAGAAGGTGAAAAAAAACTACATTGAAAGGCAAATGAAGGATGTAAGTGTATATAAAGTAAACAAATATAGTTGCTTATATAATCATTTTGCATGTGCTCTTGGAAGTGAAAGATGTTTTCAGGGATCATACAGATCATTCACCGATTTAAATGATGCACAAACCGTATGTGCAGTTATTCAAACATTTAAAATATGAACATCATAATTGACAAATTGCAGCAAAAACATGGTATTTAAAAAAAATATTTCAAGTGCAGAGAAAAACAAGACCAAATTGCATTCTGCTGGTTGGCCTCCAACAAGCAATATGTTGTGCAAATTACCATTGCAGAGAACCACGCTTTATTCAAGACTTAGTTTCATGATCCACAGAACTCAGAGACAGCCTCACAATGGACTTTTACCCCTTCAAAACAAAATGCCTTTCTTCATAGTACCTTTCTTTTCAATGTAAGTCTTATGTTTTCCCCGAAGGTTTTCCCAAAGTGAAAAATCAATCCAAAATTCACTATATGCTATCAACTTTTCCCACAACCTTAGAATAAAAAATTGGAATAAAAACATTGCAGAAATTAAGTGGTTTGAATATTTTTAATTATAAACGGTAAGTGCTAATATATCCAATATATCTATTGTAAAGGTAACTCCTGCTCTTCTGATTCCTTGGACTGCCCATAGCAATGTTCACTTATTTGAAAGCAAGCTATGATTTTCCCCCCTGAGCTTTAATCTTCTGCACAGTGCTTTTGAAAGAAGCAAACAGAATATTTTTCAAGATGCTTGAGACTCAGTGTACTAAGAGATGGGTGTTGTGTGATTAGCTATAGTCCCTAAGAGGATCAAAAGAATTCCCAGCACACCTGTAAATTGTCTCCAGGTAGCCCTTGCCCAATGTCAATAAATTCCAACCTCTAAACAGAGAGCCAAATAAGACAAGCCTTTTAATTCTTTTTTAAGCTTCTTCATTTTAACTTCCTCACTACTCCTCCTCCAGCATTTGTTTGTCCTCTCCTCATTTTTGCAGCTAAAGGAATGGCAGCCCTCCAGATGACTCCCAAGCTCAAAGGGGCGTAACAAGGTATGCCAGAGTACAGCTCTGCCTTTAGCCTGCCCCAGCATCCATGCCAGGACCGGGCATGTCTGAGTTCTTTGTAAGAGCAGCAAAATTAGGGCCTTGATATTCTATATGCATATCTGCTATATTTTATGTCTGAGGAAAAATAAAAGAAAACAAAAAAACCCAGAGCACATAGAAACCCAAACCTGTTATGGCCATGGAAAGAAAGATGAGGGGGTTTTTTTCTCTCAGAGAAACTTTTCTTTTTGTATTCCCTTACAACCAATAAGTCACTGGACATAAAAGGCAGAGTGAGCAATTCATGTGTGGGTACCCAGAGAAAAACGATCTAGGTTATAAGCTCTCAATTTAGAAAGCTTACATCGTACTCTGAAATGAGAGAGACTTACTAAACCTCTGCAATTTTAGTTTACAAAAGAAAACCCCCTCCCTTCCATGCTGACTAACAACATTATTTTATTTCAGACATGGTACTGACTTTCTGATCTTCAGGATTACATATCAGAAACTCTCTCACTAAACAGGACCTAGTAAAGTATTCATGTGACAAATTGTAGAAGTTAGATCCTTGGGAATTAGAAGACAAACATCGTAAGCAGCAAGAATAATTTTTAGTCAGTTAAATACCAAAGGAAATGGTGGCATCTCACAAATATTAAGCCCATCCCAGTTTATTCTTAATAAGAAAATTTTGTATATAGATTTTGAAAAAACAAATACCTTGGCTCAAAAAAAATGTTTCTTGCTTTACATCATGTATTCCTACTTTAGGATATTTGTAAGAATGGTAACTAAGCATGAACAAATGTTTAAAAAAAAGTACATTCATGCAGACAATTGATTGAGGACAAAACCAGCCAGATGTCAGTAGAAGGAGACTTCTCATAAAACAGTTGCTTCATCTCTAATCTCTCAGGCCATCCTCAAGGGAAACCTACACACCACTTCTCAAATATGAGCTTTGTAATGGAGGCTGCAGTTTTACAGGCAACTAAACTGACGTAACAGCTAAAATTCATAACTCTGCTAGATACCAAATACATCCAATGGGCATAAAACAAAAATTATGGGCTCAGTATGATGTCTCCCTCCACAGCCAACTCCTCACATTCCACCAGCTATAAACTGCCTGTCTCTTCCCCTTAGGAGGCAATTGCTTTCTCATCTTTTCCCTCCACCAGAACACCCTGTCTACTCTTCTCCCGCCTCCCCTCCTAGGAGCTACCTTTCCTTTCCAAGATGGTAAAATTGATCCGCATTTGATTCAACTCTGAGCAATGGTCTTCACCTTCTA